TACACCTGGGTGTACTCCAGCAAGGTGTGTCCCGAGCAGCTGAAGGTGACCACGGAGGCCAGGGTGGGGTTGAAGAAGGCCGATGTGGAGGGCCCAGCTGTGGGGGCAGGATAGGCCCAATGCAGCATCTGGAGCAGAACCAGAAGCCTGCACACAGGCCGGGTCACCCCCTATCCCCGCCTCAATGATGGACACAGTCCACTCCCTCCACCCCCTCCATCCCCGCCTCACTGATGGACACAGTCCACTCCCTCCACCCCCTCCATCCCCGCCTCACTGATGGACACAGTCCACCCCCTCCACCCCCGCCTCACTGAGGGACAGAGGCCACCCCCTATCCCCTCCTCAGTGACGGACACAGTCCAGGCCAGGTGAGCCAGGGCCAAAGACTGCAGGGTCAGGAGCAGCGGGAAGGGGGGCTCACTGGGAGGCCCCCACTCCAGGTGAGAGCCCAGGCAGCCTGCATGCAGAGCCCTGTCCCTGCAAACTGTAGCGTGCCTCGGTTTCCCCCTCTGCACCGGGCCCCGGCGTCAGTACCCAGAGCCTCTGTGGTTGAGCTGGCTCAGGACCCACCCCTCGGACCAGCCCTCGAGCTGGTTCCAGGCAGCACTCAGCAACAGTGGCTGTGACTTGCTCTCTCTCCTGACTCGCCAGCCCCGGAATAGAAGCTTCTGGAAGGCTTGGGACGATGAGTTCTCTCCCTGGTACACTTGAATGTCCACTCATGAGTCCACTTTCCTCGGGAGGCCCCATACCCTCCCTCCATCAGAAGACCCTCTTGGACAGCCTGTTCCCCAATCCACCTGGGAGCAGGAGGAGGTGGTCATGGATGCCCCAGGGGAGATGCCCAGGATGGACAGACACGGCCCTCGAGGCTGGTCGGTCTGATCCCCCTGCACGCTGAGCTCCCATCATGCCCACCAGGGCTCCCCACAGGGCCACCCATGTCCCCAGGAGTAGGCACAGCCAGCTCACCTGTGTAGGCCAGCACAGTGACCAGCAGAGCCACAGCTGGCACCCTGCAGGTGGGGGAGCTGTGGCGGAGGCGGAGCAGCATCAGGTGGAAGAAGAAGGCACAGGTGCCCTCCACGAGCATGCCGTGGGCCACGGAGGTGTGCAGGGTCGAGCTGCAGTCCGTGGCCAGCAGGTTCTGGAAGACATGCAGCGGGCTGAGCTCCCAGGACCAGCAGAGCCGGGCCAGAGCGCAGGCGGCCCCCATGCCCAGCGCCTGGGCTGCCAGGGTCAGCAGCGTGCCGGCCACAGACGCCTCAGCCAGCAGCAGCTCCTGCAGGGCCACGGCGGGGTTGGCCCAGGCCCCGTCCAGGGAGGCGCCGTGCCCCAGGAAGAGCAGGAAGAGCAGGGTGAGCAGCACGTCGGCCCCCAGCCCCGCCGCCCATGGCCCCAGCTCCACCAGCACCCGCAGCTCCAGGCAGCAGGCAGCCAGCTGGACGGCGCCCACCACCTCCCGGGCGAAGCTGGCGAAGGCGCCCGCCGGGAGCAGGGCCCTGCATGCCCTCCGGGCCGCCTCACAGA